AAAGAGTAAGGTGATGAGGGTATCAAATGATTTAGATAAAGAAAAATTGGATATCAAATTGGGGAGGAGGAGTATGGAAGAAGTGAATGTTTTCAGATACTTGGGAGTTGAAGTGTCGGCAGATGGATTTATGAAGGATGAGGTTAATCATAGAATTGATGAGGGAAAAAAGGTGAGTGGTGCGTTGAGGTATATGTGGAGTCAAAAAACGTTATCTATGGAGGCAAAGAAGGGAATGCATGAAAGTATAGTAGTACCAACACTCTTATATGGATGTGAAGCTTGGGTGGTAAATGCAGCAGCGAGGAGATGGTTGGAGGCAGTGGAGATGTCCTGTCTAAGGGCAATGTGTGGTGTAAATATTATGCAGAAAATTCGAAGTGTGGAAATTAGGAGAAGGTGTGGAGTCAATAAAAGCATTAGTCAGAGGGCAGAAGAGGGGTTGTTGAGATGGTTTGGTCATTTAGAGAGAATGGATCAAAGTAGAATGACATGGAAAGCATATAAATCTATAGGGGAAGGAAAGAGGGGTAGGGGTCGTCCTCGAAAGGGTTGGAAAGAGGGGGCAAAGGAGGTTTTGTGGGCAACGGGCTTGGACTTCAGCAAGCGTGCATGAGTGTGTTAGATAGGAGTGAATGGAGACAAATGATACTTGGGACCTGACGATCTGTTGGAGTGTGAGCAGGGTAATATTTAGTGAAGGGATTCAGGGAAACCGGTTATTTTCATATAGTCGGACTTGAGTCCTGGAAATGGGAAGTACAATGCCTGCACTTTAAAGGAGGGGTTTGGGATATTGGCAGTTTGGAGGGATATGTTGTGTATCTTTATACGTATATGCTTCTAAGCTGTTGTATTCTGAGCACCTCTGCAAAAGCAGTGATAATGTGTGAGTGTGGTGAAAGTGTTGAATGATGATGAAAGTATTTTCTTTTTGGGGATTTTCTTTCTTTTTTGGGTCACCCTGCCTCGGTGGGAGACGACCGACTTGTTGAAAAAAAAAAAAAAAATTTCACTGTAATCACATATGTGTGATGTTTCTACTCTAGCTGTATTTCTACAATTTTTGAACATGGTGATTGATACTAAAGAGTGAATAAGTATTTAAACAAGGTTATAGTGGAGATACAGCATGCCTTAACTAAGGTGTAGGCATTACATCAGGTGACTGCCCAAACGTATGTCATATTCTAAAGATTCCCCACACCCTGCTATATAAGGCAAGGTAGTGTTTATTTGGCTAATAAAATGAGGGAAGATGTATGGGCAGGTCTTCTACTAGTTACTGCCCTTGTTCTTTCTTCTTTCAACAAACTGGCTGTATCCCACCGAGACAGGGTGGCCCAAAAAGAAAAACAAAAGTTTTTTTAAATTTAGTAATTTATACAGGAGAAGGGGTTACTAGCCTCTTGCTCCTGGGATTTTGGTCACCTCTTACAACACGCATTGTTTATGGAGGAAGAATTCTGTCCCACTTTCCCATGGAGATAAGAGGAAATAAACAAGAACAAGAAATAGTAAGAAAATAGAAGAAAACCCAGAGGGGTGTGTATATATATATATATATGCCTGCACATATATGTGTAGTGTTTACCTGGAGTTTACCTGGAGAGAGTTCCGGGGGTCAACGCCCCCACGGCCCGGTCTGTGACCAGGCCTCCTGGTGGATCAGAGCCTGATCAACCAGGCTGTTGCTGCTGGCTGCACGCAAACCAACGTACGAGCCACAGCCCGGCTGATCCGGAACTGACTTTAGGTGCTTGTCCAGTGCCAGCTTGAAGACTGCCAGGGGTCTGTTGGTAATCCCCCTTATGTGTGCTGGGAGGCAGTTGAACAGTCTCGGGCCCCTGACACTTATTGTATGGTCTCTTAACGTGCTAGTGACACCCCTGCTTTTCATTGGGGGGATGGTGCATCGTCTGCCAAGTCTTTTGCTTTCGTAGTGAGTGATTTTCGTGTGCAAGTTCGGTACTAGTCCCTCTAGGATTTTCCAGGTGTATATAATCATGTATCTCTCCCTCCTGCGTTCCAGGGAATACAGGTTTAGAAACCTCAAGCGCTCCCAATAATTGAGGTGTTTTATCTCCGTTATGCGCGCCGTGAAAGTTCTCTGTACATTTTCTAGGTCGGCAATTTCACCTGCCTTGAAAGGTGCTGTTAGGTGCAGCAATATTCCAGCCTAGATAGAACAAGTGACCTGAAGAGTGTCATCATGGGCTTGGCCTCCCTAGTTTTGAAGGTTCTCATTATCCATCCTGTCATTTTTCTAGCAGATGCGATTGATACAATGTTATGGTCCTTGAAGGTGAGATCCTCAGACATGATCACTCCCAGGTCTTTGACGTTGGTGTTTCGCTCTATTTTGTGGCCAGAATTTGTTTTGTACTCTGATGAAGATTTAATTTCCTCATGTTTACCATATCTGAGTAATTGAAATTTCTCATCGTTGAACTTCATATTGTTTTCTGCAGCCCACTGAAAGATTTGGTTGATGTCCGCCTGGAGCTTTGCAGTGTCTGCAATGGAAGACACTGTCATGCAGATTCGGGGTGTCATCTGCAAAGGAAGACACGGTGCTGTGGCTGACATCCTTGTCTATGTCGGATATGAGGATGAGGAACAAGATGGGAGCGAATACTGTGCCTTGTGGAACAGAGCTTTTCACCGTAGCTGCCTCGGACTTTACTCTGTTGACGACTACTCTCTGTGTTCTGTTAGTGAGGAAATTATAGATCCATCGACCGACTTTTCCTGTTATTCCTTTAGCACGCATTTTGTGCGCTATTACGCCATGGTCACACTTGTCGAAGGCTTTTGCAAAGTCTGTATATATTACATCTGCATTCTTTTTGTCTTCTAGTGCATTTAGGACCTTGTCATAGTGATCCAATAGTTGAGACAGACAGGAGCGACCTGTTCTAAACCCATGTTGCCCTGGGTTGTGTAACTGATGGGTTTCTAGATGGGTGGTGATCTTGCTTCTTATTACCCTTTCAAAGATTTTTATGATATGGGATGTTAGTGCTATTGGTCTGTAGTTCTTTGCTGTTGCTTTACTGCCCCCTTTGTGGAGTGGGGCTATGTCTGTTGTTTTTAGTAACTGTGGGACGACCCCCGTGTCCATGCTCCCTCTCCATAGGATGGAAAAGGCTCGTGATAGGGGCTTCTTGCAGTTCTTGATGAACACAGAGTTCCATGAGTCTGGCCCTGGGGCAGAGTGCATGGGCATGTCATTTATCGCCTGTTCGAAGTCATTTGGAGTCAGGATAACATCGGATAGGCTTGTGTTAATCAAATTTTGTGGCTCTCTCATAAAAAATTCATTTTGATCTTCGACTCTCAGTCTGGTTAGCGGCTTGCTAAAAAACTGAGTCATATTGGGACTTGAGTAGCTCACTCATTTCCTTGCTGTCATCTGTGTAGGACCCATCTTGTTTAAGTAGAGGCCCAATACTGGACGTTGTTCTCGATTTTGATTTGGCATAGGAGAAGAAATACTTTGGGTTTCTTTCGATTTCATTTATGGCTTTTAGTTCTTCCGCGATTCCTGACTCCTAAAGGATTCTTTTAGCTTAAGTTCGATGCTTGCTATTTCTCTGACCAGTGTCTCCCTACGCATTTCAGATATATTGACCTCTTTTAGCCGCTCTGTTTATTCTTTTCCGTCGCCTGTAAAGGGAGCACCTGTCTCTTTCTGTTTTACATCTACTCCTCCTTTTTCTTAGAGGAATAAGCCTTGTGCATACATCGAGTGCCACCGAGTTAATCTGTTCTAGGCATAAGTTGGGGTCTGTGTTGCTTAGTATATCTTCCCAGCTTATATCGGTTAGGACTTGGTTTACTTGGTCCCACTTTATGTTTTTGTTATTGAAGTTGAATTTGGTGAATGCTCCCTCGTGACTAATCTCATTATGTCGGTCTGGGGCTCCGCGCATACATGACTGAACCTCAATTATGTTGTGATCTGAGTATATTGTTTTTTGATATGGTGACATTTCTTATCAGATCATCATTGTTAGTGAAGATGAGGTCTAGTGTATTCTCCAGTCTAGTAGGCTCTATTATTTGCTGGTTTAAATTGAATTTTGTGCAGAGATTTAAAAGCTCGCGTGAGTGTGAGTTTTCATCAGAGCTGCCTCCTGGTGTTATTACTGCAACAATATTATTTGCTATATTCCTCCATTTTAGGTGCCTTAAGTTGAAATCCCCCAGGAGCAAGATGTTGGGTGCAGGAGCTGGAAGGTTTTCCAGACAGTGGTCAATTTTTAACAGCTGTTCCTGGAATTGCTGGGATGTTGCATCCGGAGGCTTGTAGACTACCACAATGACTAGGTTTTGGTTCTCGACCTTTACTGCTAAAACTTCCACTACATCATTTGAGGCATTTAGCAGTTCTGTGCAAACAAGTGACTCTGCAATGTACAGGCCAGCAATTCTACCATCATGTAAAACAAGTATAGGCCTCTGTTTTACACTCACTTGGCAGGACGGTAGTACCTCCCTGGGTGGCTGCTGTCTATCAACCTACTACCTAGAACTTTTTTTTTTTTTTTTTTCAACAAGTCGGCCGTCTCCCACCGAGGCAGGGTGAACTGCCCTCATTATATTAAGGAAATAATTTGAGAGGTGTAAACATGCTGTTCCCTTGCTTTCTCTGGCTTTGCTTCAGTCAAAGCATGTGGTGTAGCCACCTTTCTCTTCCACTAAACACATTACTGGCCATTTATTGCACAAATCATACAAAATAAAAGGTAACCAGATAATTCAGATGGGTACTGGAAGAGTTAGACATAGAAATATATGAATTCACAGTAGTGCTAGGAGCCAAAGCCAGAGTCTGCAACTCTCGTCACATCTACCAGAAATATCCTCCCATAACATTTTGCACATTATGAATTAAATGTTTTTAGTTCTTACTTTGGTTCAGCTTCCATAAACATACAATAATTTAATAATTTACAAGTACTTTAAGTAAGCTATCCAAACAAAATATGTCTTACACCTTATGAGAATTGTTGATGGATGATGAGATTCGAGTAGTTGCTGCACACATGCCCTCTTTTTGAGGAGTTAAGGCATACAGTACCGTTGATAATATAACAATGATGCTCCAATAATAAACTGTGTGGAGGGGGCAGTATCTCCTAAGGCCAGCCATGAGACTAGAGTAGACATTACAATAGATAATGATGTAGCAAATCCCTTCAGGATGTTGTCTGCATACTTCATTGCCACTGACACTACGAGCCCACCAAATGCCTGAAATTTTATTGTTGTATTAGGTAAAATATTTAGTCATCACAAAAGTGTGCTAAGTATATTAATTATAAGTACTACAGCAAAAGCCTTAAGAAAATGTTTCTATGCCTCATTAAAGCATTACTATGTAGCAAGCTCCCACTGGTCTAGCACATTTTAAAATTCTATACTGTATAGTCCAAGGAATTGAATCTATACTCCCCTTCCTTGAATCAAACCTGAACACATCCCATTTCCTCCTTTCCCAGGTGCAGTATGACCTCTACAGGTTTAGTACTCCATGAATGCAATAATAATAATAATAATAATAATAATAATATATACTATATAATATATACTATATACTATATAATATATATCTTTTCCAAACAAATTGCTTTTAATCTGCTCTTGCTTGTTTACACTTATTTCTTCCCTTATATATTATTTCATTCATATAATTTCTTTCTTAACATCATATGGCAAGTAAATAATGTCTTCATTAGTCTGAATTTTTTTTTTTTACATTAATCTGACAACTAATAGAACATGTAATATCTTAACTAAATCTCTGAAAACTTATGTTGATTTAAGGAGTGCAAACTGGCCTACAAGCAAAACACTAAGAATACTGTGAAAGCATATCAAATATTCATGTAGAAGAATGAGAGCATATATATAATAGAAATATCAATTATCTGTAAGTTCCAGACAGTGTATTATCCCTACGGTTTAGTGTTTCCCATTGTGGTCATGTGTTGTGAAGGGTGGTAGTATATTGTGGAAGATGGCTGTGTGTTGTGGAGGATGGTTGTATTGTGGACGATGGTTATGTGCTGTGGAAGTTGGTTATGTTGTGGAGGATGGTCATGTGTTGTGGAGGTTGGCAGTATTTGGAGGGTGGTGATGTGTTGTGGAGGATGGTGGTATGTTGTGAAGGATGGTCATGCATTGTGGAAGATAATGGTATGTTGTGAAGGATAGTTATGTGTTATGGAGGGTGGTCATGTGTTGTGGAGGATGGCCATATGCTGTGGAGGATAGTGGTATGTTGTGTAGGATGGTTGTGTGTTATGGAGGGTGGTTATGTGTGGAGGATGGTTGTGTGTTATGGAAAGTGGACATATGTTGTGGAGGATAGTGGTATGTTGTGTATGATGGTTATGTGTTATGGAGGGTGGTCGTGAGTTGTGGAGAATGGTTATGTGTTATGGAAAGTGGTCATGTGATGTGGAGGATGGCCATATGCTGTGGAGGATAGTGGTATGTTGTGTAGGATGGTTATGTGTTATGGAGGGTGGTCATGAGTTGTGGAGAATGGTTATGTGTTATGGAGGGTGGTCATGTGTTGTGGAGGATGGTCATGTGTTATGAAAAATAGTGGTATGTTGTGTAGGATGGTTATGTGTTATGGAAGGTGGTCATGTGTTGTGGTGGATGCTTATGTGTTATGGAGGGTGGTCACGTGTTCTGGAGGATAGTTATGTGTTATGGAGGGTGGTCACGTGTTCTGGAGGATAGTTATGTGTTATGGAGGGTGGTCACGTGTTCTGGAGGATAGTTATGTGTTATGGAGGGTGGTCACGTGTTCTGGAGGATAGTTATGTGTTTGGAGGGTGGTCACGTGTTCTGGAGGATAGTTATGTGTTATGGAGGGTGGTCACGTGTTCTGGAGGATAGTTATGTGTTATGGAGGGTGGTCATGTGCTTCATATTAATTAAGTATTCATAAGTTGTGTAAACTTTGGAAAATATTAAGTAGGCAAGAATAATACTGTAAGTGGACATGACTTGCTCAAAGAGAATGGTGGGAAGCTGTTAAGAATGCACTGCTTGTGGACCAGTAGCTAGGGAAGTGGGCACTGCTTGTGGACCAGTAGCTAGGGAAGTGGGCACTGCTTGTGGACCAGCAGCTAGGGAAGTGGGCACTGCTTGTGGACCAGCAGCTAGGGAAGTGGGCACTGCTTGTGGACCAGCAGTTAGGGAAGTGGGCACTACATGCAAGCCAGCAGCTAGGGACTTGTGGACCAGCAAACAGGGAAGTAGGCACTGCTTGTGGACCAGCAGCTAGGGAAGTGGGGGCACTGCTAGTGGACCAGCAGCTAGGGCGGTGGGCACTGCTTGTGGACCAGCAGCTAGGGAAGTGGGCACTGCTTGTGGACCAGTAGCTAGGGAAGGGGGCACTGCTTGTGGACCAGCAGCTAGGGAAGGGGGCATTACTCATGGCCTGACTAACAGACAGAAAATCTATGATGGGAAATATCCAAAATTTACATTTTTTAAAATTTATGAAGCCTAATATCAATCAATTTTGCACACTATAAATGTGGTCACACTTTTTTGATAGTGTAAAGAAAAATTTAAAGTCATATTGCTGTACATTAATATATTAGGTGTTCTTAAATCTTTAAAATATTTAATAAATATATTGAAATGTAATGTCAATATTCTTTAATGTAATATCTTTACATTGTTTTCAATGTATGTAGCTGCAAATGCTACATTTCCTTTCCATTAATTCTGTCAACTGACCTGTATAAGTACTACCATCCAAGTGACAAGTGAGTAGCCCTGGAAGAATCCCCCTTCCTCAATAGAAGAACTATCACTGCTCACTGCTGCTATAGCAAATGCAATGGAAAACATCCCTGCAATATTGAAAGCATCAAACTGTTTATTTGCTGGAAGCTCTCATAACTGCAATAGTAAATTATTAAAATTTTATTGCAAGAACTTGTTACAAAAGTAAAAAAAATGCAGAATGGAAGCAATTAAGATTTTCCAAATCAGGTATGGTACATGACTGTGATCTGAGCACAGCTTGAGAGAATAAGATTACTATTATATTGTATATTGTAGCTGCGAGGCAACATAGTCATCACTTCAAGTTAAGCTTTACAAGGGTTATGCTGCACAAGTATGGTTCAAGTTATGGTCTAATATGAAGGAAGCTCATATACAGTAAACCTTTGCCATTAATGGTTTTGAATATTTAGTTATTCTCATAAGAGATATACATGCCATTTCTATAACAGCTCCTTGATTACTCATGGTTGCCAGTCATTCAAAGTTTGTGGAAGTTTACCTCATAGACTACACAAATTTTCAAGTTATGAAATAAAAATGTTATTGTTAAAAACAATAACAATACAGGAGGGGGGGAGGGTTCCAAAAGAGTGGTGACATTTGATAGTTAACTGTGTAGCAACACAGAAAGTGCTGACTCGTTAGTACAGTAAAACCTCCCATTAATGGATATCAGCAATTTCAAATAAAATTAACTGAAAGTTTATAAACTAAAACAGGAGGGAGTCAAGGTAAGATGTAAACAACTATTGGAGGATAGATGGGCTAGTGAGAGTATAGGCAATGGGATCGAAGATGTATGGGGTAGGTTTAAATATGTAGTGTTAGAGTGTTCAGCAGACATTTGTGGTTACAGGAAAGTGAGTGTGGGAGGGAGGAAGAGCAACTGGTGGAATGATGATGTGAAGAGAGTAGTAAGGAAGAAAAAGTTAGCATATGAGAGGTTTTTACAAAATAGATGTGATGCAAGGTGGAAGAGTATATGGAGAGAAAAAGAGAGGTTAGGAGAGTGAAGCAATGTAAAAAGAGAGCAAATGAGAAAGTGGGTGAGATGTTATCAACAAATTTTGTTGAAAATAAGAAAAAGTTTTGGAGTGAGATTAACAAGTTTAGGAAGCCTAGGGAACAAATGGATGTGTCAGTTAAAAATAGGAGAGGAGAGTTATTAACCCTTAAACTGTCCAAACGTAGATCTATGTTTTTTCAACATTTGAAAGTATGTAAAAAAAGTAGATCTTCTTTTCTTTTTTTTACATTTGAAAAAGTGTAAAAAAAATCTTTGATCTGCTTTTTTTTTTGTTATATTTGAAAATATGTAAAAAAACATAGATCTACTTCTGGAGCACTACGCATGTGAACGTAGATCTGCTTGGACAGTTTAAGGATTAAACGGAGAGTTAGAGGTATCAGGAAGATGGAGGGAATATTTTGAGGAATTGTTAAATATTGATGAAGATAGGGAAGCTGTGATTTTGTGTATAAGGCAAGGAGGAATACATCTTGTAGGAGTGAGGAAGAGCCAGTTGTGAGTGTGGGGGAAGTTCGTGAGGCAGTGGGTAGAATGAAAGGGGGTAAGGCAGCTGGGATTGATGGGATAAAGATAGAAATGTTGAAAGCAGGTGGGGATATAGTTTTGGAGTGGTTGGTGCTATTATTTAATAAATGTATGGAAGAGGGTAAGGTACCTAGGGACTGGCAGAGAGCATGCATAGTTTCTTTGAATAAAGGCAAAGGGGAGAAAAGAGAGTGCAAAAATTATAGGGGAATAAGTCTGTTGAGTATACCTGGTAAAGTGTATGGCAGAGTTGTTATTGAAAGAATTAAGAGTAAGACGGAAAGTAGGATAACAGATGAACAAGGAGGCTTTAGGAAAGGTAGGGGGTGTGTAGACAAAGTGTTTACAGTGAAACATATAAGTGAACAGTATTTAGATAAAGCTAAAGAGGTTTTTGTGACATTTATGGAATTGGAAAAGGCGTATGACAGGGTGGATAGGGGGGCAATGTAGCAGATGCTGTAGATGTATGGTATAGGAGGTTGGATACTGAAAGCAGTGAAGAGTTTTTACGAGGATAGTGAGGCTCAGGTTAGAGTATGTAGGAAAGAGGGAGATTATTTCCCAGTAAAAGTAGTCCTTAGACAAGGATGTATGATGTCACTGTGGTTGTTCAATATATTTATAGATGGGGTTCTAAGAGAAGTGAATGCATGGGTCTTGGCAAGAGGTGTGGAGCTAAACGATAAAGAATCAACCACAAAGTGGGAGTTGTCACAGTTGCTTTTTGCTGATGACACTGTGCTTCTGGGAGATTTTGAAGGGAAGTTGCAGAGGTTGGTAGATGAATTTGGTAGGGTAAGTAAAAGAAGAAAATGAAAAGTGAATATAGGAAAGAGTAAGGCTATGAGGATAACAAAAAGATTAGGTGACGAAAAATTGGATATCAGATTGGAGGGAGAGAGTATGGAGGAGGTGAACATATTCAGATATTTGGGAGTGGACGTGTCAGCAGATAGGACTATGGAAGATGAAGTAAATCATAGAATTGATGAGGGGAAAAGGGTGAGCAGTGCACTTAAGAGTCTGTGGAGAAAAAGAACTTTGTCCTTAGAAGTAAAGAGGGGAATGTATGAAAGTATAGTTTTACCAACGCTCTTATATGGGTGTGAAGCATGGGTGATGAATGTTGCAGCGAGGAGAAGGCTGGAGGCAGTGGAGATGTCATGTCTGAGGGCAATGTGTGGTGTGAATATAATGCAGAGAATTTGTAGTTTGGAAGTTAGGAGGAGGTGCGGGATTGCCAAAACTGTTGTCCAGAGAGGTGAGGAAGAGGTTGTTGAGGTGGTTCGGACATGTAGAGAGAATGGAACGAAACAGAATGGCTTTGAGAGTGTATAAATCTGTAGTGGAGGGAAGGAGGGGGTGGCCAAGGAAAGGTTGGAGAGAGGGGGTAAAGGAGGTTTTGTGTGTGAGGGGCTTGAACTTCCAGCAAGCATGCGTGAGCATATTTGATAGGAGTGAATGGAGACAAATGGTTTTTAATACTTGATGTGCTGTTGGAGTGTGAGCAAAGTAACATTTATGAAGGGATTCAGGGAAACCGGCAGGCTGGACTTGAGTCCTGGAGATGGGAAGTACAGTGTCTGCACTCTGAAGGAGGGGTGTTAATTGTTAATATTGCAGTTTTATAAACTGTAGTGTAAAGCACCCCTCTGGCAAGACAGTGATGGAGTGAATGATGAAAGTTTTTCTTTTTCAGGCCACCCTGTGTTGGTGGGAATCAGTTGGTGTCTTAACCCGTAAACGGTCCAAACGTATACAGTGGTCCCTCGCTTTTCGTAGTTCTCGGGAATTATAGATTTCGGAAATCATAGGGATATTTTCGTATAAACATGGGCTCGCTTATCATAGGTTATCTCACGAATAGTAGTTCGCCCAGGACACGTATGTATGGTGTGAGCCGGGGCGGCCTCCCTACCCAGCCAATCTGGCATTGTTTACCACTGAGCGAAGGTCCCCTCACGTGCTCCTACGAAATATTTCATAATATTCCACTCATTTTAGTGCTTGCAAGTACTAAATAAGCTACCATGGCTCCAAAGAAAGCTCCTAGTGCCAAGCCTGTGGTAAAGAAGGTGAGAAATACGATTGAATTTAAGAAAAACATCATTGAACAATATGAAAGTGGCACAAGTGTGGCCGAACTGGCCAGGATGTATAAGAAACCCTACACAACCATATGTTCCACAGTGGCCAAGAAAAAGGAAATCAAGGATGCTGTTGTTGCAAAGGGGGGTAACTATGCTGACAAAAATGAGATCACCAGTACTCGAAGATGTTGGGAAGTTATTATTGGTGTGGATAAACAAGAAGCAATTAGCAGGAGATACTCTTATGACTTCGATTATTTGTGAAAAGGCTAGGCAGTTGCACAACGATCTGGTAAAGAAATTGCCTGCAAATAGTGGTGATGTGAGTGAATTTAAGGCCAGCAAAGGTTGGTTTGAGAGATTTAAGAATCGTACTGGCATACACAGTGTGGTAAGGCATGGTGAGGCAGGCAGTTTGGACCACAAGGTGGCTGAAAAATATGTGCATGAATTCAAGGAGTACATAGAGGTTGAAGGACTGAAACCTGAACAAGTGTTCAATTGTGACGAAACAGGCCTCTTTTGGGAGAAAATGCCAAAGAGGATCTTCATTACACAGGAGGAAAAGGCAATGCCAGGACACAAGCCTATGAAAGACAGGCTGATGCTCATGTTCTGTGCTAATGCTAGTGGGGATTTCAAAGTGAAGCCATTACTAGTGTACCATTCTGAAAATTCCAGAGTGTTCAGGAAAAACAATGTTATGAAGAGTAAATTGTGTGTGTTTTGGAAATCTAATAGTAAGGCATGGGTCACGAGGGAAATTTTCGTCGAATTACCTCCTGGAAAAGAAATTGGATCTCAAGTGCCTGCTAGTAATGGACAATGCACCTGCTCATCCTCCAAACTTGGATGACCTAATTTTTGAGGAGTTTGGGTTCATCACAGTAAAGTTCTTGCCCCCGAATACCACTCCTCTCCTCCAGCCCATGGACCAGCAGGTCATTGCAAACTTTAAAAAACTCTACACCAAAGCAATGTTTCACAGGTGCTTGACTGTGACCACAGACACTCACTTGACCATAAGGGAATTTTGGAGAGAACACTTCAGCATCCTCCATTGCATAACCCTTATAGGTATGGCTTGGGAGGGAGTGACTACCAGGACTTTGAACTCTGCTTGGATAAAATTGTGGCCAGATTGTGTCGACAAGAGGGATTTTGAAGGGTTTGGGACTGACCCTGATGAGCCTATATCTGTTGTTAAATCAATTGTGGCACTGGGGAGTTCCATGGGGTTGGATGTGAGTTTGGAGGATGTGGAAGAGTTGGTGGAAGACCACAACGAAGAGCTCACCACTGAGGAGCTGCAAGAGCTTCAGCAGGAAGAGCAACAGATCGCAGCTCAGAATCTTGCTGCAGAGGAGGAGGAAGAGAGATGGAAGGTGCCTTCTTCAGAAATTAAAGAGATTTT